TAAAAAAAATATAACAAAAATACATAAAAAATTAAAAAAAATTAAGTAAAAATACATAAAAAATTAAAAAAAATACATAAAAAAAATTAAGTAAAAAAATCAAACAAAAAAAAATTAAAAAAAAATAAAAGTAAATTAAAAAAAAAAATTAAATTAATAAAAAAATAAAAATAAATAAAAAAATAAAAATTAAATAATAAAAAAATTTAAAAACAAATTAGTAAAAATAAAAGTAAATTAAATAAAAGTAAAAAAATTTAAAAACAAATTAGTAAAAATAAATTAAAAAATTAAATAAAAATTAAAAACAAATTAGTAAAAAGAATAAATAAAAAAAATTTAATAAAAAAAATTTGATAGAAAAAAATTTAATAAAAAAAAACCCTTTAATAAAATAAACATGTATATAAAATGTAAGAACATTATAAATGCAAAATACTGTTTAATACCTTAGATTAATTTTTTCAAAATTTTGGGAAGATTTAATATATTTAAACACATATTTTTAAGAAGGTATAGGTCAAAATGATTCAACTTATAATTAATAATAAAAAATACTGTCGGTTTAAGGATGCACAACCGCTTGGAGTTAATTTTTGAATGAAAAATGTTAGCATTTCTTAGAGATACTTAACTTTCAGTTTGAGTGTGGCAACATGAGTATTATTTTTATTTAATTGAGTATTAATGAGTATTTGTAGGATTTGGAGGACTCAGTACAACTTAAACATCACACAAAAAATGTTCAAGCTTTTCTTACTTTGATAAAAATACTGTTTACACTTAAAGCTACATTTCGTTTTGAGGCATTCCTTTTGACAACAACTCAATTTAAATTTGACCGCAGCGGCCATCACCCCAACTTAAATCGGTGGTTTCTCATCGGCGGCACTTTTCTTATGCTCTCCTTTCTTAGCCGATTTTGTTTCAACAACATTTATATTATAGGCCCGCATGCGGGCTTCATGCTCGAGTTGGCGATGACGTAAACGCACTTCATGCTCCTCACGCAAATGGTTCAGTTTCAATTCTTCCTGTTGACGGTAGTAATTAATTTTCAGATCCTGTTCCAACTGTTCAAAACGTAATTTTTGCTCATGCTCACGACGTGCATAGTCCATGTCAGCAACACGTGCGCGTTTCATCAAATCGAACAGACCCTTTTTAAATCTATCTTCTGCTGGAGGTATTGCGGTTGATTTATTGAGTATTTTTGAATTTGAATGATCAGCTAATGTTTTTACATAAGATTCTGCATGAATAGCAGCATCGTCGTCCATTGACGTGGAAAGCTAAAAAAACATATATAAACATTAGAAAAACATATAAACAATTATTTAAAAATATTTAACTATAAAATTTATTAAAAATATTTTTATGTTAATTATTAATTTTTATAATGATAGATAATAGCTATCATCTATTATCTATCAGATAAGTACTAGATAAGTATTGTACTAATATTAGTAAAAAAATAATATGATTCTTTACAGTTTATACGAAGATACATAATTTTTTGGAAAGTAGTCATTTACTTTCAAAAAATGTTGACCAGAATTATAGGTATTCTATACCACGTTGTTGTAGCCCGTAAAGATCTATGTAGCAGATAACATAAAATAATTGTTAATATGAATACAGGGGTTAAAATATTGTTGGATAAACCAAGTGTGTATTATGTGCCTTAAGTTAGATTAGGTTATGCCGTTGATCTAGCAGGATCCACTTGGGTCTGTTGGCTCATTGCGTTATGTATAAGGAAAAACTCAGAGGTTTAAAAACTACCTTAAACCTTTAATAATGATTAAAATGCTATTAAATGACAGGTTCTGCAGTTGGTCAAGATACTCAAAAAAAGAAGGTAGGAACCTTCCTAGAGTAGTAAAATCTATGGGCTGAACAAAAACAAAACTGATTTGGGCTACTGTCATCGTCCTGTGATAAGAATGATTAAAAGAGAGATTCAATCTTCTAGCATGTTCCCTAATCTACTATAACCACTGAGCAAATCTAACACATGACTGATATCTCTACAGAGCATTTCAATTTCTTTTTAATAAATACCCAACTTGCATTCAGATTTTTAAGTCTTATCTTTTAAAAAGTTCAGCAAAGAAAGAATTCAACGGTTTCTATGTTGCCAACCATAAGCCTAAATTTTTTAAATGATTCGAGTGATATCCTAAAGTACCTCATCTGGCTAGCGCGTTCGTTTGGAAATGTGTAGGAGTCAAAAACCGTCCTGGATATAAATTGACTAAATTTAAGAATTTTAAAACAGCTTGACTTTTTCATAGTATGTATATATTCTTAGTAAATATATCATCTACTTTCAGATAAGTTATAGTTTATCTAATGGCTATCACCTCCGCCTTAGAAAACCCTTGAATGATTAGAAAATCCATTGTGAGATTTGGTCAGTCTTTCCACTACTTGTTTTAGAGCCGTAGGTAAAAATGGTTAAACCCTCCCCTGAGGGTCTAGATCCGTTCACTATACAGTAATACCATACAATAGTAAAGGTCATAATAATATAAATATAGTCTAAAAGTACAATAGAACAGTCAATATTACAAACAAATCTATATCTATTTTCTGCTGGATAAGAACAATTTTGTGTAATGATCAAACACGATAGCAGACCTTGACTCAGTCAGGATATAAAAATATATATTTATATTTACAGGAGCTACAAATGTCTGTTAATACATATTACTACTCAAATAATGGATTAGCAGTTCAAAAATGTACTCGTATGTATTCTAAGTGTTAATTATGTGTCATTATGGTGAAATATCACCATCATGAACTTCGAATATCAGCTAATTTGGAATGCAGATTATACCTCGAAGATAAAGAAACAACTATGCATATTCCTTTGACTTTCCAGCTTCAACAATGCACTGAAGAAACTTATTTCATATGAAATTCCTGTCACCAAAACAGTTTAAAAACTCTTCTCTAGACTTAGTTCCGGACCTTGTACACAAAACTTTAAAGTGCTTTGTGTAATTAATAGTGAAATGTGTACAATAGGACTCTTCTTCGACTGTTGCACGATTTCACGACAATGATTTTAATAATAATAATAATATGATAGTAATGGCATAGGAAGCAAAATCATTAGTTAAGTCTTTATACTAATTAAGCTTACCTGTGGTTTACGTAGCCTTTTTGTTTTAACTCCAGCTACCTGCGCTGATGGCTCCGCTTTAACTGCATTAGCTGCTTTTTTATTGCGTGTAGGCGAAACTTGTTGCGTTTCATTTTGTGATTCAGCAGAAGGTGGTGGGGACGGTAAAGCACTAATTGATTCTTCTTGAGTATCATCACTAGCATTATTTGGCAAAGATGCTAATGGCATATCTTCATCCTCATCAACACTCAAATCTTTTTTTCCACCACTAAGGCGATGGCTGCGTGTGCTTACTGGTTCCTTTTGTAATTCTTCCATAAAATCAATTAAATTGAATGCATCTAAACTTGAGTCTTTAAACTTTTGCTGATACTCACGTTTAGCTGTGTTCTTCATGCTACGCCATTGTACTTGTATTTGTTCCAAAGAACGATGACGGAAATTGAGGGAATTAAACCTAAAAAAAAAAATAAACGTATATATTTTAAACATTTATAGAAAATGAAGTATAATTTGTATTTCATATTTATTAATATTTACTGTTTGGTTATCTGCAACCAGGCATTTCGTTTAGCTTTTATACTTGATGTATCCACATTGCGGTTCTCAACAAATTGCAATTTTGTTTTTATTACTTCCAGTAGTAAACACTTAAAATAATGTACAAAATATATATTAGCATTAATTAAATTATATTATTTAAATAAAGTTACTCTTTCTGCTTCTTCCCAATTTAGCGAACGTTTTTTGCGTGCACCTTTCTTTTTGCTGCTACCAGCTTCTTTCAGAGAATCATCTTCCAATTGCTCACTTAATTCAATATCCGCTTCCTCCCCATTACCGGAGCCAGAATTAATTAAGACTTTTTTAGTTTTTTCTCCCTTTTCACTTGCTTTGCTAGGTACTGAAGCGGCGGAATCATAAGCATCCTCAAGCTTCATCTTAACACGCAAACTTCTTTTATTTTGATCTTTATCCAAATTTACCAGAATTTTTGAAAATGCTATTAAAGTTTCCACTAAGAATTTTACTGTTGGAATTTTTGTTTATATCCATTCACTTGGAATAATTTGGAATGAAGAGAGCTGCCATATATTGCAGAATCCAAAAGCAGTAAATATGTTAAAATAATAGTATTGTATATAATTTGTGTGGATTTTATTCAAAAAAAAAACTAATTATAAAAGAATTGAAATTTAATAAAATTTAAAAATATTGATAGTTGATGAGAAAAATTTTAATACAATGAAATATTTTATATTATAACAGTATTCATTTTATATCAATACTACTGATCGTTATAAGTCACAATTGGTAAAAATTTTTTATGTCATGAATTTAAGTTAATAATTTTAATAACATTTAAGAATTATTAAATAATATTAATTAATTTATTAAAAATAATATACATATCAAATATTTAGTATTCTCCAATTGTGTTATTTCCAATTGTAAATTCCAATTGTGAATTTATTTTTTAAAAATATACGGCAACCCTGTACATTTGGTACCAATTTTGACATTTGGAAGTATTGCGTACGCGTGAAAGAAATAGACTAATTGTCATCGGTATTTTACAGGCAAGAAGAAGGTACATTTTTTTTTTGTTCAGCAAGAACGTGAAAAGTAAAGAGATTTTATTTGATATTTTAGAAAATGGCTTTCGGTGATTATCCAGCGGAATATAATCCAAAGGTTCATGGTCCTTACGACCCTGCCCGCTTCTATGGCAAAGGTAAAATAGTTTGACAAGCAAAAATTACGTAATGTAATTTACGTTCATTCTGTTACCTAAGTTAAAATATATTTATATATTTTTCTTTATGCAAAAATAACATGCTCCAATGTGTTTATTTGTAGCTGATGTTCCATTTGGACAAGTGAAACTGGGTGAATTGGGATCTTGGCTTGGACGCCGTAACAAGTCTCCAAGCGCAATTGCTGGTGCTTTCAGCCGTGCCTGGTGGCGTTGGCAACACAAATATGTGCAACCAAAACGTGCTGGTATTGCTCCATTCTTTCAAATCACATTTGCTGCCATGACATTCTTCTATGTCATCAACTACGGAAAAATCATTCACCACAGAAACTACAAATATCACTAAACCTTAGCTTTACTACTTGCAGTTTATCGGATGCGTTAGTGCTAGCAACTAAGGGCTATCTTCTTTCATTAATAATTTGGAATTAAAAAAAATTAAATATATTTTTTTGTTTTCTGAATAAATTAGAATAATTTGCGCCGAATAAAGAACGTGTTCCGAAGTTATATGTAAAGTTTTCTTCTTATTTTCCAAACTGATTTGCATTGAAGTTGAATAAGTACACAATCGATCACGGAAGTCTATTATTTATATGGATATAGTTGGAAAACGTTTCCCCTTTACATAAAGTCATATTCTTGATTCAAAATTTTTCGGTTTAGAAGTATTCCACGCTTTAGATAATTGGGTTTTTTCTTTGGATTTGGCCAAATAAACTACGTCATTCATAGTCAATGTTTCTGGCTATCCTGTGTTATTTACAGCAATTTTTATTACTTTTCTTTTGAGAGATTCAGCAGTAATAGAACGCACCTTTCTAGATTACATATCTTAATACTTCTACGTGAAGATAATAGGCATACTTCTTATAGAAGACATGCAACGCGTAGTAGGTCTACAACAAGTAATAGATCTATATCAAATAGTAGATCTATATCGAGCAATAGGTCCACATCGAGTAGTAGGTCTACATGGGGTATTAGTCGTACATCGACTAGTAGGCATACATCAACTAGTAGGCAAACATCAACTAGTATGCGTACATCGACTAGTAGGCATACATCAACTAGTAAGTCTACATCGAGTAGTAGCTCTATATCGAATAGTAGGTTAACATCGTGTAGTAGGTTTACATCGAGTAATACTTCTACATCAGGTAGTAATTCTACATCGACATTAGTGATTGTTTGTATTGTGATGCTCACAATGGAGTATTGCCTTTTAAGACAAAATACAACAAAAATAATTTTTATAGCTTAAATGTGATCAATGTTTTCTCTATAGGGAGATAAATATAAGACTGGGTACCTATTTTTAGATATTCTATTTTTTATATAGAGTTTTATGTGCCAAATTATCGTGCGAAATAAATGTTTATACTTGACTTAAGGTAAGAATATTTGAACTTGAAGATCAAATTTGAAGTTCTGTGCCATATGCAACATTTCTTTACGAGTAATCATGAATTGTTACGTGAATTTTATACTGCAGTGTAAATGAGATTAGCGAATGGTACATCATCAGGTGTGTTCCACGAGCTACTCGTAGTAAAACTCAAGTAAAATACAAAATGAGAGCGTAACACAAATAATGTGCCAAATTACGCTCTTTACACAGATTTTCATGAAACAGCTTTGTGTAAAGTCTGGTGAGAACACCAGTGCCGCGCAAGTAAACAATACAAAACTTTAAATCCAAACCAAAACAGCTGATTCATACATCAATACAGATTTTACTTGTGAAATAAAATGTACGAGTAAAGTCTGGTAAGCATTTTCAAATTTCGACAGGGATGTTACGCTCTCTCAAATACTCTCATTTACTTGAAAATTTACTGGTGGAACACACTTGTATATACACAGTGTTACTCAAAGTTACTACGAGTAGCTCGTGGAACAGAACAGATTTTTACTTGAAAACGTTACCGTACTTACTATGTTAACTGTTTTTCTAAGAAAGAAAATAAGTTTTCAAAGTCAGTTTTAACTTAATTTGACGCATGCGCTGCATGCAACTCCTCTCAGGAAAAAATATTAAAGTAGTATTTTTATCTGGTACGAATTTTTTTTTTTTAACTAAGAAATGAAACTTTCATCTTCACTGCAAAAATGATCAATCTAAATGAAACGTTTTGAAAATTAGTACTAAAAACATTTTAGAGATATTGGTGTCGAACACGTTAATTTTTATATTCCGTAGATAAAATGACAACTGTCAAATTGTAAAGTTTGAGATTTACTGCATAATTATTCAAGCGAAAAAAATGTGTTGAAAATTAGTTCTAAAAACATTTTAGAGATATTGGTGTCGCACGCGGCAACATTGAATGCAACTGTAAATTTTGCAAACAAATCGTATAATTTAACAATTCACTATTTTTCTATTGTAAAATTTTTTTCTATTGTATTTTTTCTATTGTAAATATTTAACAATACCAAAACTTCAGACCAAAGAAGATTAAAAAAAAAATAAGAATTACTCAAAAAATTGTATATAAAATATTCTGGATAATTCAAACAATATTCAAAATTTTAAGTAATGAGGTGAAAATATTACGCAGTACAAAAACAAAATATCAAATGCTACGCAATGGTACGTAATTATTTTCCCCACCCGGTCTTGTTATTTTGCCCACCCGGTCACCATTTTTTTTGAAGTGAAAACTTCTTATGGCGCGTTAGGCACTTTTTGGGTGAGCATTTTCAGCCGATTTGACAGATGAGATTTTACACAGATATACTCCGCGGGTATTTGTATAATATATGTATACTATACGCGCTCTTTGCATGGGCATTCGTTCGTGCTCTCGCGACAGACGAGATTACATACCTATATGTGTATTCAGAGTGTATAGGCATGCGAGAGCGCTGCATGCTATACGCAGTCTTTGCATGGGCATTCGTTCGTGCCCTCGCGACAGATTATTGCTATGCTACTGCTATCGCTCTCACTTTGACGAGAGCCATAGCAGAGCAGAGCACATCAAATTTAGTTGAGTCAAATCTAGTGTGTCTGCATTGTATGTCTGCATTGTGTGTCTGCATTAGTATGTCTGTTTTTGTGTGTGTGTTAAACAACAACGGCGGGAGCCGTAGCACATGAAAAAAAATGATCTGCTCTGCTCTCATCTCGCTATCATTTTTTTGCTGATTTCATCATCATCATTTTTCAAACCCTGATTTAAATATTTCATTTGACTTGTGTTGCTGCTATGGTATTGTGTTAAAAAAACAAAAAAAAACAAATCTAAAGTGTTAATAGAATTAATAAAAACATTGTTGTAGTGCTTTTGTATACTATAGTGTTATATTTTGTATACATTATTACAACTGCTGCTCGTCATCACTTAATTTAATTTTATAGCAAGTTTCAAAAGAGACAATCGTCCAGCAGGTGGGGTGGCTATTTATCATCGGTCCAATGATACTATGGCCACATTTTCTACAGATCATATGGAAGTGCATGCGAGATATACCAGTATGTTTAGCACTAATGTTTCGAATATTGGTGATATATGTATTTCCCAATGCCATTCTAATGGACAAACAATAATAATGGCTGCCGTTTATATTTCACCAAAACAGTCTTTACAAGCAATACGAGAGTTCTTGTATTCAAATTTATTCATTTATTCTAAAGCTGCTTCCGCAATATTTATGATGAAAATTAATAGAAGATTTGATCATTATACTATGATTTTGAGTGGAGATTTCAACATAAACTTTGCAGATGTCAAAAATCAATCATTAATTGACTTTTTATATCAAGAATTTGATTTAACGATGTCCAATGATCGCAATCTTAGCACAACAAAATACAAAACTACTATTGATGCAGTATTCACAAGATATATAAATAGATTTAAATCAAAATTGTTTATTTCATACTTTAGTTACCATAGACCTATTGTATCAGTTTTAGAATTTGATGAAAATCCTGATAATAATGATGAAAATGCTGATAATGATGATGTAAGAGTTGTTGAAATTATGGATGAGAACTGATAAATTTTGTATTTACTATTTACTAATATTTACTCATTTAAATAAAACCACTTCCTTCGAATATAGTTTCTATATTATTATACTTCATGTCCATTCAAAAAGTGCCCACATTGCTTGGATAAACTTGATTTTTTATGTACAATTTCTCATGTCGCGAGCGCACCTAAAAATGCTCACCCAAAAAAGTGCCTAACGCGCCATAAGTTCAAGTTTTCACTTCTGCCTGCACTCCCGGAGTGTTTTTCTCGGTTTTATGGGGTTTTTTAACGTTACAAATCCGTTGAGAGATTTTTTTGTTATATTACACAAAGAGGCACAATGATTCAAAATTTCATTTCAGTTCTTTTCTTTATCTTTTTTGCTTTAAGGCTCAGTAGGTGACGTAAGAAATTAATTCGAACCGAAATATACAACCAACCAAACCTGCGTATTTGATAGGAACGAAATAAACAAAAACGGTGTACTTTGTTTATTTCGTTCTTATCAAACACACAAGTTTGGTTGGTTGTGTATTTCTTTTTGAATTAATTTCTTACGTTACCTACCCTCTAACTGAGCCTTTAAACTTTGTTTATTAGGTGAGAGTTCAAGTAAATATACATAAAAGATTTTGTTATTTAGAATAATTATAAATTTCCTTTTTTATAATATGTCTGTTCTTAAATTATATTAAATTGTTTCTTCATTGACATATATATTATTAATAATAATTCATTTAGTTACTTGATATGCAATTTCAAACTTCGTGTCTGGTAGATTTATAGACCATGTACGCAATATTCAATATATAAGATTCAATATTTGTGTATTATTACTTTTGTAACCCACTGTATTGATTTCTTAAACTAATTCATTTTAATTTTTTTGTTAAAGTATCGAATAATTTAATATTTTATTATTTGTGTGAGTGAAGAGTCAATTGTTTTATTAAGGAATGTTTTAAAGTTTTCCAACAGGGATTTGAGAAAGCTTGTTTTTATATAAAAAATTTCTTAAATGCAACATAAACATAACTATTGTGAATTATTATTATTGCTATATTATTATTGTGAATGCTACAAATAAACGAATGTCAAAAAAATTAATTTGCCAGAAATTTTAGTTAGCGCTGGAACTTGCCGACATTACTTACGTTTTGATAAAAATATTTAGTAATATTTTTTTCTCGCTACACACACTGCACAGCGATGGAATCTAATAATGTTAAGCGTTTGAATGGTGATACAATAACACCACAAATAAAAGGTCCAAATGATGAATTATTCCAAGCGGCAAATAAAGCATATTTCAATGGGTTCCGAAAGATGGGTGTTATACCAAGACCTTCCGATATAATAGAAACACATGAAACGCTTCCACACGTATGTGCACAATGTTCGGAAGCATATCCAACTCCACATTTATTGGATATGCACGTTGCTGAAATACATGATTCTTATTTTGAAGCACTGGTTCGCAAAGGCGAGAAACCGATGTATGCGTGTTTCTTCATGAACTGCAGCAT